CCGCCTGGCCCAACCCGGCGAGGACTTCGCCGAGTGCCAGGCCCGGCTGCAGGCGCTGGCAGAGCGCGTGGCCAGGCACACAGGTGAGGGGAAGCTGCGGCTTGTTCTACCTTCTGGCCTCCCAAGTGCCGTGAAGCCCCTAAACCGCCCCAAAGTGAAGGGGAATGGAAGGGAGAACTGAGCTAGCACTCACTTCCCGCAACCTCTTGGCACGCGCTTCCCAGCTGGTCCAGGGCTCCCTTTCCTGCTAAACTTCACTATCCTCTCTTCCTTGCAGATGCCATGCCCCTGACTGTCCCGCTGGTCGAGGCCCTTGAGAACAACTTGGTGAGATGCCTGTGGTTCTTCCCGACGTGAATCCTCCATTCCTCTGCCCTTTGCAAGCCTTCCCCAAGGGCCTTCCCCTCCCTATCCCATCCCATCCTTCCCTTACTGAATCAAAAAAAAAAAAAAAAAAACACCCCAAGGAGCGTATTTTATAGATCTGAAATGGCCCCAAACCTGTCTCTGACCGCAACTCTGCGCTCTCTCCACAGCAAGAAGAGCCAGGCCAGCTCAGGAGCGAAGGGACGGTGCCCACCATCACCATCAGTCTCGGGGACATGGAGGAGAGCACGGTAAGGACCGTGGCTGAGCCCATGTGCCCTGAGCCTCCGCAGCCAAGGAGGCTTCCCCACACGAGGATTCTGGCCACAAATCGGGGACACTTGGCATCCCATGCAGGGGACATGAAATGGTGGCCCCCACAAGCCCTTACCCTGTCCTCTTCCTTGCCAGGACCCCCCGGCCACCACCGCACACCCCAAGCGGAGGTCGCACGTCATGGACCGGGACAGCCAGACCTCATCCAAGCTGCTGAAGCTGGAGCGTGACCACGAGCCAAGCCACAGTGGCACCAGTTTAAACATGAGGGATGGCAGGGGTGGACCCAGCACTGCAGCACCGAGCCAAAACTGCAGCAGCACCCCTGCCAACAGGAGCCACAGTGACAACACAGGTGGGGACAGTGGGACATGGTCCCCCTCCGCATCATCCCGCGTCTCTCCCTCCAGATGGGCTAGAGTACAAAGCAGGAGGCTGTGCAGCCAGCTGCAAGTGTCTCCCCTTTCCAAAATTGGCGTCTCCTCTCTCACGCCCCAAAGCTCCAACCCCATCTTCTTCCTTCCACAGAGACCAGCAGCATCATCATCTGCAGCTCGGAGGACAGCGAGGAAGACACGGTGGTGAGTGTAACGCCAGAGCGGCCTCCCCGCTGAACAGCACAGGGGGCAGAAGACAGCACGTAGCCCTTGCCGAGGCCACCAGGCTTTGAGACTTTCTTCTCCCCTTGCTTCTTCAGGAGGAGGGTGGCCAAAGAGGTGCCCATTTTCCTGCTTTGCTGTAGATACCCTCCGCGTGGTGCCATCTTCACTTCCCCATGGGTGGGCAGGCAACAACCTGGCCTGGAACAGCAGGGAGAAGTAGCACCTTCCACAACTGCTCCCTCCATGGGGGGTCTGTTCTTACACTGAACTCACCAAGCCTCTCCCCAACCTCACATCAGCAAGATGCGCTCATGTCTTCCTCCTCCCCTTTGCTTGCTCTAGTGCGTAGAGCTCATTGTACGACACATGCAGCGGGTCCTGGGTGCTTGGGAGGGTCTTGGCCTCTTTTCTTTCATGCCATCGCTCTCCTAGTCATGCCTCAATTTCCCCAGTTGGGAAACAAGCCAGCAAGCTTTGGCTTCGCTCTGCTGTGAAGATTCAGCTCAGCTCACCGCTAGCTAAGGGTAAGCCAGAGTAGCCCACGTACCTGCCTCCAGCCCAGGGCAGTAGCCCAGGGAGCCATATAGCTTGATGGGCCAAGTCATCTCCAATCAAGTGGTCCTGGGATAAGGCAGGAGCCCCTGTCCATCAAGACGAGGCTCTCCACACTCAGCTGGAGTGGAGGTTGTCCCAGGGGGTTCCCTTGGGAAGGCTGCCACATGTGAGGGACAGCTAGGTAAGCCTCACCGGGAAGGCTATGCTCAGCTAAAAATCAATCTGTGGATAAAAAAAAAAAAAATCAAGTTTGAGTTGAATGTAGCACTCGCGCTTGGCAGTGGAGCAGGCTCCATCCATCCTGCTGCTAAAATAGGCTGAAAAAAATCATGGGAAATACTGGAGCGTATAACATCCATCTGAGACTTCCCAAAGTGATGCTCCTCTGCTCCCCGGGATGAGGCGAGATTTGGTGGCATTGCCAAAAAGCAAATTGTGACTTAACGGCCTAGGCAAAGTTGTTAGATGAACCAAACTCGGGCTCTTTCCAGAGCCCCCCAGTACCTGGAGTTCCTCCGTGGTACCAAACCCCTGAGGCTCCCAGATTTCATCCTTGCCATAACCACATTACAAAGGCACCTTCAAAACACCCAGGGCTACCTTTTTGGCTGCCTATCTTGCCAAACGTTTGCTGGTCAAGTGGACAAGCAGCCCCGGTGAGGACATAGGATCTCCACTACAATTTCATTGCCATCAGTGTTAGCAGGAGATCCCTCGGAAACCAAAGCAAATGTGGCTGGTTTGGGATTAAGGGGTGGGATTAAATGGTTACCAGACCTTTTGTGTGAACTAGTAACGCAGAAGCTCTTCTTACTCTTCAATAAAGCTGTTTTCAGAATAAATCCCAACCTACTGCTGTCTTCCTTATTCATATTTTCTGCTGTTTTTCCTCCCTGTCCCTTCCCAGTAGCAGGGAAAAGAGTAACTAGACTAAAATCACTTTCCAAATTCTCTCCCCGCTTGCCTGGATGACCACTGCTAGTAGGAGGCGAGCTGAGCAAGAGGATGAGGCACTTGGATGCAGCCTGGGCATCACAGGGCTCAGGCCAGGGGGTAGAGGCTGGGAACCCACCTAGAGCCTCACACATCTTATAAGATCTCGATCCTAAGGGGGATCTTTTGGGGACATTTTGCTGCACACACCAAACTGAAGCTGCAAGCACATGGCCCTGGCTCTGCAAGGACCCCCTGGCCCAGCATTGGTACTGGGATGGGTGTGTGCGGCTGAGCCGAACGCGTGATTCCCCCCACTCCCTGACAAATGCTGCCTGTTTTCCCTCTGTCTCACCCTTCAATAAAGCCTTCTTGCATATGAATTCAATTTGCCTACTTGCTATTTTGGGTAACAAGAGCATCTGCGATCATATTAAGCTGCCAAGTTTGGTTCATCTAACTCCTTTGCTGCCCCTCTCCAAGGCTCAGAGGGACAGAGTCTTTAAAGGCACGACCAGAGGAGCAGAGCCAAGCTGCAGGGACACTGGGAGCTGTCACCATCCTGCCCCCTATCCCTTTCCAGCAAGAGGAGCCCGTGGCTTAAAACAAATGCCTAGTTTGACATGACATTAAAGGCAACTCTGATCCCTCAGCTCCCCTTGGCTCCCAAGGAGAGCTGCACTGGGGGCTCTGCTCTTGCTCATGTGGTGCCATCCACGCCAGGAGCTCTTCCTGGGACTCCCCATGAGCCAGCCTGTTCCCAAGACGTGACATGGACCTGACCCTTCCCTTGGGAGCAGGGGCACTGTGGGTTTGTGGCATCACGCACAAGGTCTTTACCCAAAGCCTCCAGGCTCATACTGTACTCAACGCTACAGCTCCCTCCTGCCCAGCCACCTCCAGAGCAGGTGACCTCAGGGTGGCAGCTGGGACTCAGTGCCCTCCTCTGCTTTCTTGCAGGTCTTCGGGGAGCCCGGTGGCCCCCAGAGCAATGGGAGCAGCAAAGCGCAGGGCAGTCCTGGCACCGCCAGCCCTGGCACTGCCAGCCCCTGGGGCCATGGGCCAGGGCTGAGCACCCTCGTCTTCTTCCACTTGGAGGTCGACCCGAAAAGTGAGCGGGTTATTGGGCCCTTCAAGGGGCTGGGGGAGAGCGAAGGGCAGCTGCGGGTAGAGGGGGAACACTCCAACTCAGGGGACACCTTCTCCCTTTCCCCTCTGCAGCTCAGCAGATCACGGAGATAGCGGCAGCCAACGGAGATCACACCTTCAAGACCCTCATCCAGACACCCGAGTCAGTGCTCACGCTGCTCTCTCAGGGGGTCCCCTTGGAGACAGCAATGGAGCAGCTCCTCTGGTACCTCTGCTCCGTTCCCAGGCCCATCCTGGTCACCTACAACTTCTGGGCACCAGAGCTGCCCGCTCTCTTTAAAGCCCTGGATGTTACGGCCAGGAAGGTGGACTTCTGCCACACCGTGGATGGTTACTTGGACATGTTGCCCTTGATCAAAGAGAAGGTTCCCATGGCATCTTCCTACAAGCTGAAGAATATGGTGAGAAGATACCTCCAGCAGCAGCTGAACAAAGGCAATGCTCTGGCCACCACCAAGGCGCTGCAGACGCTGGGGGAAGTCCTGGAGCTCTTCCCCCATCCCGACCCAGAGCCCGTATTGACGCACTGCAACCTGCAGAGTTACACGATCCTGCAGAGCCTGGTGCAGGAGAAGCTCCTCACCAGGAGAGCTGCCAAGGTCCTGGCCAGGCGCAACCTCATCCTCTGGGAGCTGGAGCAGGTGTAGGCAGCCACGCTAGAGCTGTAGCACCGCAGTATGGTGACAGTGACAGTGTCCAGACAACCTCACCACAGAAGCTTGCAGAATTAACCTCTCAAAATAAATTATGCAGCATAGCCCAATAGCATGTCTGCATCTCATTCTCCAAACATCTCTACATCTCCTGCCCTAAACCCTATTTGCACTGGTTGCAATGCAACTGCTTTGGAAAGAAAGCAAATCTCAGCCCTGTTCAGCCAGGCTGCTTTATTTTGCAGCCCAAAATCTGGCCTGTGCGGGCAGGCAGAGGCATCCAGGTGTGTCACCCGCTTTGGGCAGGTTGTCCTGTCCCAGTACTGGCCAACACAGCCTCTGGGCCCTTCTGGACACCTCCCTGTGCCGGAGGAGCAGGAGTGGGACATGGACATGGCAATGCAGGAGACATGCCACCAGGTGTCTCCTTTGTACAGCGTGGCGCACGCGCATGCTTGTGCGCCACATGCACGCTCGCGCCTGCACAGACACACTAGCACACAAGCGCGTGCGTTGCTGCCACCCCGTGCACGCACCCACACGCTTGTGTGCGCGCAGGTCATCTCACAAGCACACACACTCCAGAAAGCTGCCGTGCCACTTTTCCCATGTCACCACGCCCCCGTGCATCCATACACACACGAGTATGGCTGGATAACAACCCCCCTGCCTCCTTCCCCCTCCACAGGGAGATGTTGTCACCTCCATATGCTGCCCAAGGGCTTGCCAGGATCTGCCCTGCTGTGGCCATCACCAGGGCATCCAGTCTGCTAAGGGGGACACAGAGGGACAGTGTGCAGGGGGAGGAAAAGCTCACCCAGGAGCATCCACAGATAAAGACCCAGAAGCAGCCATGAAAGCTGCAGGACAGGGGTAAGGGGCCTGCATGTCCCCCTGCCTGTCCCACATGCTGCCTCTCATGGCTTTCTCAATCCCGATGCAAGCAGGGCTCTACAGCACCACACACGTGCCCTCGTGACTCGGAGCAATCCCAAGGGAGCGTGGACAAGGACAGGAAGGCAGGCGGAGTGGGAGAACCTGTCACCAGACCCAGATAAGGCCATTCTGGGGCAGGGGGTCAGGCCACCTCTGACCCCAGCTGGGGTTACCAGGGCCAAGGGCAGCTCATCCAGGCTCTCCCATAACATTCCTGCAGTGGAGGGGGTGCACATCTCTCACGCCCTGTAGGTTCTCTAGGGTCTAGTACAGGGTTACACGCAGTGAGTGGCCAAGAAAAGCAAGTGAATAGTCACTTACAAGAGACACAGCCATGGGAGAGCAAGCACCATCTGTCCAGTGTCACGGGCCTCATCAGCGTCTTGTAAAACAATAGTAAAGTCAATGGTCTGGAGGAGCCAGATTAGCTCTGTGGTGCCATAAAACTCAGTCACCCGGCTAGAAAAGGGTTATCATCATCATCATCAGTCACCACAGTGTGATCGGAGCAGCATTCAACAAGCTCCAGCCCTGGAGGAAAGGTGGCTTCCAGGGTATCCCCCAAAACAGTCCTAAGGAGAAGTGACCCCACACCAGGGTGAAGGGGTCACAATAGCCTTCATGTGACATGCTCCTGATTTCCAAACCACCACTCAAATGCCATGACATCCCAGCCTTTTTGCAGGGATGATTTAACACAAAGTGAGGGCGAGTTCAGGCACCAGCAGATTCGGGGTGGAGAGATGCCCATAATCCTCTCTATGGGTGTGGACACTGCTGTGACATCTTCATGTGACGATGCCAAACCTTATGTTGGCCTCTCTGCTGGCCCCATCCACCCCATGAAAAAACAGAGGCAGCTTTTAGAGAGAGAAAAAACTTTCTGGAATCAAGCTAATCGCCTGAAATGAGGTATAGCACGCTGCTTGCTTGATTGGCTGTTATTAATAATGCATTGCTCAATCTAAACCATTCATAAAATGACTCCCTGGTAGCCCAGAGCAAAGTGCCAGTGGATTCACAAAGGAAAAGAAAAAATAAAAGACAAGAGCGAAGAGCATAAATCCTCCCTGTTTATGAAAATGGATTTCTCCAACACACACACAAAACTAATTAGAGCCAAAGGGCCCTCTCCTCTGCATTTGATTATACCCTGCAAATGCATTTGGGTTGGATGGCAGGAGTGGATGGAGGGGCAATGCAATGAAGGACCCGCTCCAGTGAGCCCAAAGATTAACAGGATTATGCTTTTAGCAAAAATCTGCCCCCAACACCCAAATGGATTCAGATCCCAGGGAGAATCAAGAGCAAGGGGTGGTGGTAGACAGATGGGGAGCTCTGTTAAATAGCTGGAGAAGTGCAGACACATCTGGAGGGGGGTCGAGCTTGGAGAGGTCTTGCCTAGATGGTGGGAGAAATCCCATCATCTCCAATCAGACGGACTTTCAGGCAGGATGTGCCCAGAGGAAGGTCTCCACATGCATTTACTTGATCTCCACAGAGCCAGGTCATGGCTGGAAACTGGAGAACACAGGAAATCCAAGCCCTTGGCTTGACCCTCTCTTCCTCAAATAGCAACTAATCCTGCCCACCTGGGCAGGTGCTTCCCCAGATGCTTCCAGGCAAGGATAGTATCTAGCAGGTCTAAATCAACATATCCTCCTTGGTTCCAGTAGCAAACTAAGGAGCTCTAGAGCTGGAAGGCTGCCTTCATTTATACCAGTGGAGAATATGTCCTCCCCACCACAGTTGTGATCATTGACACCCGCTGAGGTTCTGGTCCCCAGATCAGCTTCTACTTGCCACATATTAGGAGTGCTGGCAGCCCCAGTGCCTGCTCTGCCACCTGTGCGTGTATCCATCCATCCATCCATCCACTCATCATTTTCCCTGCCCTTGCCCATGGGAAACCGAGGCACGAAGACAGCAAGTGTCCCTCTGTGATGGCCACATCTTTGCAACAGTTTAACCTGCTTTCGCATTCCTCAAAATAACTTTCCAGATGTGCATCCCCATTGGGCTGTCTGCCACTCTTAATACTTGAGTTGCAGAGCCCAAGCCCCAGCCTTTGATAAATACTCAAGAAGCTCCAAATAACCAGGTTGCAGTGCCCCACTATGAAGGGAATCAATCTTTCTAGGAAAGGATTTACCTGCTGTGAGGATGAGCTTGATCTGCTTTAAGCATTATGATGTGGACACCCATTTGACTTGCCTGAAGACTCTGAACATCTTCATGTTCCGCCTCGCCAGCTGTGGAACTCCCTGCCCCTGGGCTCGCTCTCCACGAGTTCAAGAAGTGATCACAATGAGAAGGGAAAAAAAAACAAAAGCCGTAAAACACAAGTAAGAATGCCTGAGGCAGGAATTTCCTGAGCTTCGAATTGCTAATGCCTGGAGGTGTCCATTGCTAATGGAGGGTGTCGTGGCAAGGGTGAGGGCAGGACTGGGCTAAACGCCAGCTGTAGAGAGGGAAGGGAGTGAGTCATGGAGTCATCTCCCAGGCTGGCCACAGCCAGCGCCGGGTGTGCGGGAAAGGGAGCCGTGGAGACACACTGGCAAGCAGCAGGTGGAACACCGCGCTACAGATCATCCGTGTGGGATGCGGAGCGACGCCTTAGTCCCGCTTTCCTTCTCTGTGGCCAGCGTCTGTGCTGGGACTCAAGGGAGCTACCTGCAAGGCAGGGACTTCATCTGCTCCCAGGGCTTCATCTCCCTCCGTGCCTCTTCCCTGCTCCAAGGAGAAGTGCATTACATGCAGGGGCAAGCCAGGCCCTCAGCACCAGCCCTCCCTTGTCCCTTTGTGCAGAAAAGCCACCTGCTCCCCCTGCTTCTCTCTGTTACCTTCTCCTGTGTCTCCCCAAATACACGCTGGCTACACTGTCACATTGTCACCTTGTTGCTTGGTGCTTGTTGCTGTGGCTGGGGAATGAGTTAGAGACTGTTGTCCTTAGCATGGGCAGAAGAAAGGCCACATCTCTGCTTCTGAAGGCTGGTTTAGAGGCCTTCCCAGCTAAGCTTGTGCTGCTAAATAAACCAAGCACAAGCCATAGATAGGGAGGGCCAGTGTCACAACATGTCTTGTGCCCACACAGCTAAAATCCCTTCCACGGCAGCAACCTGGCCTTGCCCATCTGTTTGGAACAGATCCTAGACCATACTGTGCCCTGAACAGTGCCCAGGCTTTATCCAGTAGGTGTTAATTGGGCTGGGCCAAACGTGTGCCCAGGAGCTGTTTTGATTTTGAGCCTGTATCGGTGCCCTTAGTCAGGAGAAAGAGGTTAGAGGGAACGGCCCTAGAGAATGAGCTGGACCACCCTGCCCCATGCTGTCCGTGGGTTATAGTGACACCCACCCCATATGTCCACGACCTTTTTAAGCTCCAAAAGGGACTCCTCTGGGATGGCTGCTTTGCCCATGGCAGCTTATTAAATGATGCTTGCATGTCTTCACCAGCCCCGGAGGCAGAACCAGACAGAGAACCAGACGAAGGGCCCCTGGGCTCCCTCCTGTAGCTGGGAATACTCTCCGCGGACTGGGATTGTGCAGCAGGCTCCTTCATTGATCCCACATATCCTTTGGGGGAAGAACCTCACACACATCTCAGAACAAAGCTCCGTGCCTGGCCCCGGCACAGACCACTCTGCTGGGACACTGGATACTGGGTAGCTCAGGGAGTCTAAACATGGCTCTGCTGTGAAGGTCCAGAGGGCAGAGGCAGCTGGCGCTGGGATCGAGGATCAGACCTGCTGCCAAGGAACTTCCCTCTTCTTCCCTTCCCGCTATCAGACACCCTCTGCTCCTCCCTGCGGGTTAGCGCTATTCGTTGTCCGGAGTATGGGGGATGAGGGGGCGCGCCCATCCCCGCGGCCTCAAGGCCGAGGTGCGGTGCTGGCCTCTGCGCTCTCCTCTCCCGTGGTGCTGAGGCAGCAGGTCCTGGGGCTGCAGAAGCAGGAGGTT